TTTTTTTTTTTTTTTTTTTTTTTGGTACCAGGTTTGTCTGTCTTTCATATCTGAGTAATGCTGTGCTCATAAAATTTCCCTTTTTGTTTTCTAGGAAAGAGTGCGTAGAGTAGTGCTGGTTGCACCCTAAGGTCTTGGTAGAGAGTACTATTTTTCTTCAAGTGGTTCTGTAAGCTTCAGGTTCAGCAAAACCTGGACTTGGCCCTGTTTGGGGGACTTTGAGGGTTTGTTGTTTTCCATAATCAGAGGTTTCAATATGCCACACTGAGCAGCCAGGGACTGTGGGTACAGATAGGTGAAACTCTTTAGCTTCCTGAGCCTGGTAGAAATCACTAATCTTCCATCCTGGTCAGTCTGCGGCAGACCCTAGCTAACTCCCAGTGGAGCAACACAGTCTAGGAAAGGCCTCTGACTTGCCTGAACCAGGACTGGCTGTGTGACCTTCAGGACATCACTCTGAGCCTTAGATGAGCCATCAGAAAAAGGATAAGTGCTGATGTAAAAATGAAAATGTGCTTGCGGAACGAGAGAGTACCCCTCGAGGCAGGATTAAGGAGCTTCAAACAGGTCCACAGCTTATAAAGTTAGGGGAGGAAATGGGCAGAGTGGGTGGAGGAGGAGACAAGAGGAGAGCAGGGAGCAGGACGTGCTGTCACCTGCACAGCGACCTCTGTCCCCGCCTGTCCCCCACAGGCATGTGGACTTCTGAGGGCTCAAGACGGCATGTGTCCAGTTGTCCAACATGTCCTGAGCCTGGTCCAATGAGGTGTTTCACAGACGAGGAAAATTCGGGCTTGGTGATGTCCCCCAAGATGACAGTATGTGGCAGAACAGGAAGGGAGCCGCGTGTTTGGGGCAAACTCTGCTCTTCTGTCAGGAGGGTTGCAGGTTGGACAAAGTTCAGAAGGCAAGAGCCAAACGGTCGACCTGAGGGGTGTGCGGGCTGGAGGCAGGGCCACTGGCCTTGAAGCCAGACGGCTGGGCATGAAGCGCTGGTTGGCCACTCGCAGGGCTGGTAAATTGAGGAACACATCTCGCCTAGTGCTTCAGTTCACTGAGATGAGGTGAGCATTGCACCTCCTCATGGAGCGTTGCAGGAATAGGGCCCGCGCCATTAATTCATTCATATCGACTCATTCATGCAAAATGCTCAGAATAGTGCTCAGCTCAGGGGAGGTGTGCAAACACCAGGTGTTATTATTTGTGAAGGTGTGGACTGCATTTTGGGTTCTGGGGAGCCATCACTTGAAGGAGGAAGCTGTGAGATGTTGGCAAAGCTTAGAGAGCCTGTAGCCTGCCCCAACCTCAGGAAGTGACTTGCTCAAGGTCACACAATCCTGCAGGCCACAGCCCCGTCCAGCCCATGGCCCATCTGCATTTCCACCAGCACCTCATGATCCAGTGCTTCTGGGGGAGAGGTGGTGTGTCAGGAGGGCACGTAAGAGGTGGGGGCAAATGCAGGAGGAAGGCTGAGCTTCCTACCTTGGGGAGGTGAGCTTTCTGGAACATGCCAGGGAAAGGGACAACAGGGAGTTTGGAGGTGTGGCAGCCAGTGTTCCTCTTGCGGGCTCTGGGCTTTCCCCTGGGGACCCAGCACATCTGGGCTGCAGCCTCACCCATGGCCCCTGCACCCTGCTCTGTCGCAGAGGAGACGCGGGCCTTTAGGTATGAGGTCACTGGTGTGGAGCATCCTTTCTGCGATGCTTAGTGTCTGGCGCCACCGTGTGGCCATGGGCCAAATCCGTCTGCACAGGAGTTGGAGGCCCAGCAAGAGGCAGCAGGAGGGCAGCCTCAGGTCTCCCAAACTAGCACTGAGTTTACTGGTGGGAAATGGGATGGAGGGAGCAGAGAGGACAGGCACAGGGGCTCAGAGGAGAGGTGCAGTGTCCCCAGCTTCCAGGCTGCTTGTTTCCTGGAAGCTCTTTAGACCACGAGGGAAGCTGGCCTTGGGGAAGTTCAGAGGAGGAAGAGTCCCAGTCCCTTTGAGGATGGCAGCTGCCAGGACACGAGGGGCGGGAGCTTTGCATGGGTTCTGCAGGGACTAGCAAGGCCAGGGAGTCAAAGACCCTTGGCTCTTCCCCATGGTCCTCAAGTGACTGAGACAGGGGCGGATACTCTCTGGCATGGGGGGCCCCACCTGCAAAGTGGAGGTGGCACTGGGTTAGTGATCAGACCTAGTTCCAGAGAGTGTCCAGCATTCCCCGTTGTCTGATGGGGACCAAGGACTGAAGGATAGAAGAGCAGAGTGCAGGGGAGGGGTGCAGGCACCTGCCCTGGGGGTTCCTGAGCTGACTCCAACTTGGTGCTCCCCTGGGTGCAGGTTGCTGCACTGCAGGGGGTGGCACTGCCAAACTTGATTCCGGTGTGATTGTGGCGTCCTCTGTGCCTGGCATCTGTTTGTAACCAGCTCAGGGTGCAATTCTGGCTTTGCCCTCCCGCTGGCTTCTCCCACACCTGGGTGCTCTCATAAGGGAGAGCCCGGCTTCTCCTGGCAGGTCTTCCAGGCCAATCAGCACATTCTGTTCACTGTGTTCCTTTCCCCCACCTTGTGGGGCAGCAGGGCCTGTGGCCAGGGGGAGGTTGAGGATGGAGGGAGAGCCGGTCTCTGGTAAGGACAGATCCAGGGAACCTGAGTGCTGGCGTTATCGGGGCCCAGGTGGATGGGCTTGGTTCTGCCACATGATCATTACTTCAGCAGCTGGGCCACTTGCAAAGGTAGGAGACAGAGTGCGTGGTCAGAGTGTACCCCAAGGTAGTGTGCACTTGTGGTCAGGCCCCTGATGTGAGTCTATGGCCATGGCACATGGGTACAGCTGAATTTTGGATCAGGGACCCGTTCTGATTGGTGACACCAATGGAGCACCAGGGCTCCATCGGACACTTGACCGTTGTGCACGTGGCTGCGGAGCCTCTGGGTTTGAGGCCCCGTTTCAGTGCCTAGTCAGTGAATCCTTGTCCCCTGCTGTCCTGCCTTCCCAAGCTGCCACCACATCTGGCCACTCTGCCCTTCTTGTCTGGCTCTCCATCCCCTCCAAAGCTAATGACAATGATAGCTCCCTAGAGGGGCCTCCCAGCCCCCACTGTCCCCAGCATCTCCCCAGCAGGCCTGGCCTCAGGCCCCAAACCTTCATCCTTGTCCTCTCTCCTTCCTCTTTCAATTTCCTCCTCCTCCTCCTCCTCCTCCTCTGTCTCTCTCCTCTGTTTCTCTCTCTTTCTCTGTGTGTGTCTCTGACCCCTCCAGCCACCCCTTGGTGACCCTACAGCTTTACAGATCAAGTGTCACAGACTCCCTCTCCTTCCTGGGCCTCCTCTGTCTCCCTGATGGTATGAATTCACAGGCAGGGGCCCAGACAGAGGGACCACTCATGGGAAGTGCCACAGCCAGCAGGTGACAACACCTGGAACAGAACGAGGATTCTGTGTTGGCTTCCCCTCCAGCCTTAGTTTCCCACTTGTGAAGTGGCACCGAGCAGACCTGCCCCAAGAGGCATGCTGGGACTCCACAGGCTGGCACCCCTGTGTGCCTGGACCTTCCCCATGTCCCTCCTGATGGAGGGCACCGCAGTGCACCTTGCTTTAATGTTCAGTAGAACAGCATCCACTGACTCCAGGGGTGTAACCAGAGAGATGAGGTGTGGTTCTGGGTACTCCGGTGGGTCTCTCCAGGATAGCCACCAGAATCTCCCCCAAAGGCCTCAGGGGTCCAGAGAGAATGCCACAGCACTGTCCCAGACGTCTGGGGGGAGGGGTGCTCACGTGGCCAGTACTTTGTTTTATTTATTTCTGGCCAGCACATTTTTGGGGGTCACACCTCTGAGTCAGTGGGCACACGTCCTGGGGTATCCTTGAGGGAGGCTAAAGAAAGGTCAGAGGTGAGGCTGGAGAGGTGGCAGTGTGCTGGGCCACGAGGACAGCTCTGGATCACTCCAAATACCATGGGGAGCTGTGGAGGGTCAGCGGAAGAGGAGCGAGGGCCACACGTGGGCAAGGAGCACTTTGGCTGCGGCGGGAAGAGGGGCGGTTATGGGCGGGAGAGGGTGGTGCAGACCAGCGACAATGCAGACCAGGCCGGTGGTGATGGTGGGGACAGGGAGGGTCGTCTTGTAGCCCCAAGTGGGCACTTGGAAATGCTTGAGGACAGCTGGGCCTCCACAGGTGCCGGCCATGTGCTCCAGGTCTGACACCGGCACGGCCCTCCGGGAGGCTCCGGAATGTGGGCAGAACGTGTCCCCGGGGATGCCAGGTTCTCTCCCCTGGCTGTGGCACTATTCCTTGCTTAATCCTAACGGGGCCCACAAAGCTGAACTTCCTGATGCTTTTGGACAGGCCTCTGAGGCCTACACCCCTGACCCTGACCCTGCCTCAGAGGCCACTAGTGGGTTTTGATGGGACCTTAAATTGTCCTCTTGCCTGGCTAGGGCTTGCAGACACAGTTCCAGAAAGTTCAGGTAAAAGTGAGGCTTACCCAAGGTGGGTACCCACCTGCTCATCTCTAATGGGGCACACACTCTATGAGGCTCCCTCATTACAGAGGGTGAGTTAGGAGGGGGTTAGAAGACTGGTTCAAGGTCCCACAGCACGCAGGGCTGACCTGCAAGCACTCCACCTGGACCTGCTTCCTTTGCGCTTTGCTCCTCCCTGTGGAGCCTGGGTGCTTCCCCTATGATCCCCAACCCGAGGAAGTCCACCTGCGTTCTGGGCTCACTAAGATGCTTAAGTGGTAGGCCCTGGAAGATCATCTGGCTCCACTCTCCCATTTTCCAGATGAGCTCACAGAGGCCAGGACCGGAAGGAGTCGCCTAGGGCTCCAGATGGCAGATTTTTCTGATCTGCCCCGAGCACCATGTCCTTGGACTGAGAGACCCTCAGAACCCCATCCAAGTCTCCGGGACCTTCTGCGCCCACGTGGGTGGGGGTGCGGCCCGATACTTCTGCAGCGCCCACCCCACCCACGCCTCTGTGTTCTGTCCTGTGTCTCCCGGCAGGTATATCCGCACCATGTACCTGGGGATTCAGAGCCAGCGGCAGAAGGAACACCAGCGACGCTTCTACTGGGCTATGATGTACGAATATGCAGACGTCAACATGCTGCGCCTCCTGGAGACCTTCCTGGAGAGCGCCCCCCAACTGGTGCTACAGCTCTGCATAATGATCCAGAAGAACAGCGCCGAGACGCTGCCCTGTGAGTGCCCACCCTGGCCCCGCCCCGCCCAGGCCCCGCCCCGGAAACGCTAGGCCCCGCCCCCACCCCTGCTGGGTCACCTCCTGGGAGCTCTGGGAGGGCCTGGCACCTCCGAGGGCGCTGGGAGTCCCAGCTCTGGGTCCTCAGGACACCGAGCCCTGGGCAATGTTGACGTCGCCTGCACAGCACAGAGGTTTCCCCTACCGTGTGCGGGCTCTGGGCCTCCCCAAGACACTGTTGAGTGAGCAGTGCAGACCTGGGTCTCCAGAGTGCCCCGGGGCAGGAGAAGCCAGTCAGGCCCCCAGCAGAGCCAAGAGCCCTAGGTCTCCCAGCCAGGCAGGATGGTCCCTTCCCTCTGGCGCTGGCTTGAGCCCGGGTTGCTGTGGGATGCAGGAGCTCAGGCCTAGAGAGAGCACAGGACTAAGGCAGAGTGGAATGTCAGGGGTCACTCGTGGTTGCAGACGCTGTAATCAGTGGTGCTCTTGCTTCACGCTTATGTAGAGTCCCACTTGTCAATCAAGGCTCAAGCGGCTATGCTCCAATTACAGCAGGTGGCAGAGCCACACACCTGCCTACCGCCTGCCTGCCCAAACCCTCTGGCCCTTGGGGCCCCATGTTCTTCAAGGAGCCTCAGAAGCTCTGCAGCAGGCACTGTGGTTTCTGCAGCAGCAGGAAATTTCGAAGAAGGCATCCTTGGCTGCCAGAGAAGCTTTTGCAAGGTCAGACTGCGGTGGTCAAGGCTCTGTAGTCACACCACAAAACCGATGGCCAGCCCAGCCTCCAAGTGCCACTGTCACACCTCAGAATGTATGCCAGGGGACAGTAGCTTCAGTAGAGAACAGGATCTAGATGAAAGGAGGCCAGAAATGATGGCTTGTTGGAGGAGGTGGGATATTTGGTCTGGGAAGACTTGGGCGACCTGAATTCCAACGCTGGAAGGGTTGCCGTGGGGAAGAGAGTCGTCCTGAAGGTCAGTGCAAGCAGGTGAGGGTCATTCCATCTAGCGATGGGAGGACTTTCTCAGGGAGTGGTCGGTTCTCTCGTGTTCAAGCAGCAGGTTGCTGAAGAGACTCAGCCCGGAGGTCCTGGCTCCAGAGGCTCACGTGGGCATGTGCACGCCGAGCTCAGCAAGGCAGCGGCGGGTGGGGGTCGCCCCCTGGCCGGCTCTCTCTGGTCGATGGCCTGTTCTCCTGGGCTCTCACTCCTATAGTGTCTGGCTCCCTGGTGGTGGTGGTGGTGCTTTTGTTGTGGACGTACTTCCTGAGTGGACTGCAGCCTCTGTTGGTGAGATCTCTGGCCGATGGTGGGCCTTGTGATGGCTGCTGACTTCTCACACTGTTGGTGCTGTAGGTGTTTAGAAAGGTCAATGGTGCTACCAATGCCACTTTACTCTCCAAGTTCGCCATTGGTCTTGCCCCGTGCCAAGCTCCCCCACCATGGCCCTCCCTCTCTCCACCCTCTTGCCTCACTGATGGCTGGGTTAATAGTACAATATTCAGCCTGCAAGATGGATTTGGATCCAGTTCCCCCACAAATGGAGACTCAAGTGAAATAATCGCGATGATAATAACGATATTATGCTGGAGCTGTTTGGACATTTCTGGGCTGTCTTCCTTAAATCTAACACCTTAAAAGTTTAAATAAAGATAAAGTAGACTAAAGAGAGCATAGCATCTGACATCACATTTACGCTGGTTTGGAAGGCAGGCTTGGAAGGCAGCCTGGTGCGTGGGAAAGGCAGGCAGAGTGCCGGCATCGTGCAGCTCTACCACGGGGCAAGTGCCTTCCTGACTGCTTCCTCATCTGTAAGCGGGGGGTAATAGCTGCTTCGGGGGCTGTTGAGAAGATCAGATGAGCCCACACAAACCTGCACAGTGCATCGCTTGGCATGTTTTGGGTGCCTGATGCGGTCAGCCCTTCCACCAGGTATATTAAGCCAGGTGTCATATGAGCAGAGGAACCACAGAATGAGCAGGCATGGTACCCACGCTTGTGCATCTTCCATTTTCTCTGGGGAGACAAAAACAGTTAGAGATTGTGGGGATCCAGAGTGTAGGGAGGTGAAACAATGGGCAGATGGGAGGTTTCTCTGGAGGGGGCACCAACAAGTTGTGGGAGTTCTGACTGGGCATGTTGGGTCGGGGGGGCCCTACAGGAGAGTGGTCTGGGGATGGACGGAGACTCGATAGCTCCATCACCGTGCCTCAGGCCTAGGCTTTTCTGATGGGCTGCATGGACATTGGACGGTGGTTGGGATGGAGCTCGTCTGCCTTTTTGGTGAGGCCCACTCTGAGGAGCCATCCTACTTACTGGGCTCTGACGGCTACTTCCTCTATCCCCAGTACCGCCGTGTGTCAGGTACCGCCACGAGTCAGACATGCTGGGAATGCATCGCATAGACACCTCTGCCTTTAGACCTTATTGACAGACGAGTACAGAGGTGAGGGTAACTGTTTCTGGGGACAGCACAGAGAAGGTGACATTTGATGGATGAGTAGGAGCTGGAGCTGGCTTGGAGGGGAAGGTTGAGCAGTGAAACTGAAAATGTCAAGGGACTTTAGTGGCTCTGAGAGCCTAGGGTGCTTCAGGGAGTATGGGAGACAGTGGTGGTGCTGGTGGTGCCAACTAAGCTAGTTAGTACTCTGGGGGAGGAAAACTGCATGCCAAAGACTAGGCTCAGAGGATTACGTAGGTTAACTAACCCATTAATATCCCATAGGTAGACATGCTTTATCATTCCCATTCTATGGATGATGAAATGAAGGTCCAGAGAGGTTAGGTACCCTGCACATGGCCACAAGTTTGTCGGTGCAGACTGGGTTTTTACCAAGGAACCTCGGCTCCCAAGCCTGTGCCCACAAGCAAGAAAGCTGTGCTGAGTCTTCAAGAGTCAGACTTGTGTGGATTCTGAGGGAGCCCGTCACTGATAAAGGGAAGAAAAGACTGATGTGCGCCACGGCCAAGCTGAGAACAGATGTGCACCCATTGGCACCAGTGTACACAGGTGTGGGAGTCCCAGATGCCATCGCACTGGCTGGGCCAGAGGCGGCTGCCGCCGCCTCTTACCCTGTGAGTCCCCGCCAAGGGTTGGCACTGTGAAAATGCCCCGTGTCTTTGAGAGCGTCCTGTTTGAGCCACCTCTTGCGGATGCTCGGGGGAAGCTTTGCTGTAGAGCTGAGCTTTTTGGCCTGACCAGGAAGTGAAGGAGTGGGCCTGAGAGTCAGCTCCCCAGGACCCCACCAATGACACAAGCCACATCCTTTGGCCTGGCCATTTCTTGAGGATCATTTCTACTACCCCAGACAAAGACTGGTGGATAACCACCTCTGGAAAATGTCAGAAAAGTGGTGGTACTCATGCACTCGCCATGAAGACGACCCAAGACTCTTGGGATATAATAGAAGTCCAGCCTCTTCGAAGGCTGCCTGTCCGCCTGCCTCCCTACACATAAACTCAGACTGTTCGTGCTGGGAGTGGGATTCCAGAAATTTATGTAATCCAACACTTACTTTATAGAAAAGGAAGCGGAAGTC